TTAAGGTAGATATGAAAATCAAATTAAGATAATATCAAATCAGGATAATATTGATTTGATATTATCTTCAATACTTACTGACCTAATTCCAATGGCAACGCGTAGCAAATATTGTCGTTAGAATTAATCTATTTCTACAACTAGTTTGACAACTAGTGAGTTGTCAAGATCTTTGATGTTGATTTAAAAAACATTTTTTAAAATGGATTGACGTGAAGCCTGTCAAGTGTAAAGTTGTAAAGAAAGTTGTACAAATAGCGTAACTGTTCTCATTAATATTTATCAGCAAAGGGCTGCAGAAATTGCAGTTTGTAAGCTTAGAACCGAACCATTACTCCCATACAGAAATTATTCTTCATTATGTTGTCATAGATCGGGAATGAAATTGCGTACATAAACGTACATTATATGCTGAACTCGTAAGAAGTTCGATTTTATTATCGTAAAAGAAGTTCGTAAGAAGTCTAGATATTATCGAGTCGAGTGTACGGTTTTATAATGGAGTAGGAACAGCTCTGAGAGGATTAGCCTTCTGCAATGTGATTCCAAACTTCTCCTCCATATCCAAATCCTTTGGTGCAATTCCTCCTTCAAGTTTCCAATCAAATGAATTCAAAAGTGAACCCAACATTACAGGCACCATTCTAATAGCCAAAGGCAATCCAGGGCAAATTCTTCTTCCAGCACCAAACGGAATCAGTTCAAAATCTCTTCCCTTAATATCCAATTCAGATTCCATGAACCTCTCCGGCTTAAACTCGAATGGATTCTCCCACAAAGTTGGATCCCTTCCAATAGCCCATGCATTCACCAACACTTGCGAGTTCTTCGGCACAGTGTAGCCGGAGACCTCCACGTCTTGTTCGACTCTGCGTGGAATCAAGAAAGGAACCGGCGGGTGTATCCTCAGGGCCTCTTTCACCATGCACCGGATGTATGGAAGCCGAGAAACGTCTTCTTCTTCTAAAACTTTTCCTTTTCCAATCACTTCCGCAAGCTCTTCTTTGGCTTTCTTCATTGTTGCTGGATTCTTAAGTGTCTCTGCCATTGCCCATTCCAGTGTGCTCGAAGTTGTATCAGTTCCCGCAACAAATAAGTCCTATAATAAAATTGTGCACGTGTTAGATTTTTCTAAGAAAAAATAAATATTACGGGATCAGGGGATGTACTAAAGACATAACATTTAAGATAAAGCCCTTATTTGGTCGAACTGAAAAAATTAATTAAAATTTCAGTCAAAGACAACAATTAATATAGCTATACATTTTAAAGGATTCAAGAATTTTCAACCACACGTTCCATTAATTTTTTTGAAATCTACTAAAAATTTGATTAATATTTAGTTATTATTTATAANCCCGTGTCACAGGCCGAGTTGAGCTTTTATTTTTTTAAGTTTAGATTTATTTTTTATATATATTAATATTTAGTTATTATTTATAATATGTATAAATTGCTCAAATTTTAAATACATTATAAAAAATTATAGATTTATAACGAATTAAAAAAAAAAACACGAGCCGGCTCGGTTCAAACCCGGCTCAACCCGCTAAGACTCAAGCCAAAAGCTCAGGCAAAACCTCATTTTTTTGGCAGAGCTTTTGCTCGGCTCAACTCAGGCCCAAAAAATCTTTGACCAATTTTGCTAGAGCCGAGCCCGAGCTTTGAGTTTCGGCTCGACTCGTTGACATGGCTATCAAACAGGGACTGTATATGATATTCTTGGTAAAATTTAAGTTTCAAGATCACGCTATATTGAACATGATTAATATCACAATGAATAAAAGTTCATGGGTTTCTCATTTTCTTAATATTGTTCCTTACTATCTAATCCTTTTAACCTTAAAGAATTACTGTGTATTCATGTTTGGCGGCGGGCAGCAGCCATTAGATTTTTTAGGTTAATTATTTTAGGAAAAAGAAAATTACTATATACAAACTTACTAACTTATTGTTTTTTCTTTTCTTTCTTTTTGTTTTTTGTCCCCCTAACTCCGTCCCTACTGGGGTTGGGGGGTATGCGTGTGTTAAGAAGGTGGAAAGAAAAACACGAACCAAGCACAAGCGTTCAATATGAACCCTATCGATTTCTTCAGGATTTTCTCGACTGGTATCAAGGAGAACATCTAACACATCACTGTTTCCACTATTGTCGGACTTCCTTCTCTGCAACCTTTCGTTGATCAAGCCATCGAAAAGCTCTATGATCTTCCCGAAGTGAATAGTCATGCGACGACGTATACCTGTTGAAAACAAAATAAGTTTTTAGGTGGACCTTCCTATTTATGAAAATTGAGCACATATACACATCATGAGCTTGTAGACAAGATAATTAATGATACCTAGAGGGTCTAACTTGTCAAGAACAGGGAAGAAATCCACCAGATTAGGCTTCCCAGCCTCCACCATTACATTCCAAACCAGGTCCTTGAATTCTTTGGCCGAATCCGAAAAAGGGTCCGTTAAATCCTTAGAGAAAATTGTATTAGACAGCAAATTCAGTGAAGTTCTGAATGCAGCCCTGCCTATATCCACTGCCTCTCCGGCCTGACTATTTTTCCGGCAATAAGCAATGAGTTCTTGCACCTTCCTGACCCTCAAATGCTGGTTGGCGTCCAACCGGTTGCCGGAAAACATATTAGAGTTCAATATTTTCCGGAGGCTGCGCCACTTCGATGCCACCGGGAGCCACACCACGGAGTACTTGAACTGGTTGTGTGCATGTATGGCATTAGGCACATGCCTACTCGAAAATGCAAGGTCCTGTTTTTGCAACACCTCCTTCGCCATGGCGGAGGAGGTAATCACCACCGTATTTATACTGCCAAGCCGGAGGCACATGATTGGCCCATAAGTTTTAGCCAGCTTAGCTAGAGACTTGTGGGGCTGATCACCGAGCAAGTGGAGGTTTCCGATGATCGGCAACGGGTTCGGCCCCGGCGGCAGGTTCTTGCCTCTGGTGGATATTGAGCGGAAGGCTTGGATTAAGGTAAAACAAAATAATAATCCTAAGACAATTGTGAGGAAATCCATGGTGTTTTTTTCACACAGTACACACACTAATTAATTGGAGACTGGGGATTGCTCGTGCTTGTTTAATGTTTATACTGGATTTGCTGTCCACGAGTAGCGCGAGCGATTTATAAATTCAGAAAATAATATCAGATAACAGTTATTCGATAAATTTGCACAAATCATCCTCAACTTATTAGGAAATATATGAAATTAGTCTTGATTCTTTTTTTTTTTCTAGACAATCTACTCCTCAACCAAAAGATTTGTCCCAAAATACTACTGACCAATAATTTTAGTTTAGCTCACGCGTGTAAATCAGATGCTCGAGATTTAAATGACTATTTTTGCAATAAAACCTTAAGTTGAGGAGTGCATTGTGAAATAAAAGGAAAAAGAATTGAGTCTGATTTTGTACATATGCTGTAAGTTGGTGGACGATTTATGGAAATTTTCCCTTCGTTGTTTCTGTATTTCATTTTTTAAAAAAATTATATTTTTGAGGATTGATTGATTTGTCTTTGTTGTGGTGTGACAAATTAATATGCACCAATCACTTTTTTTAAATAAAATATTGGTGCATATCATGAATATATTGGTAATAAAATATTTTAATTGAATGCAAGTCCACGGCTGATGTTAGGGATGTCAATCGAGCCGAG